TAAATATCTCAAGGTGGTGAACATATCCAGACGACCTTCCTCCTCCTATTTCCCCCAGAAAACAACGCTCTGAGGGAAATTCAGCTGAGAGAGAAAGACTGGTCCAAGGTCATTCAGCTGATTTTCACAGCTACGACAGGACTAGAATTCACTGTCTCCTGGTGATTGGCCCAAAGTCACCCAGCTGGCTTTCATGGCTCAGGTGGGACTAGAACTCACCGTCTCCTGGTGATTGGCCCAAAGTCACCCAGCTGGCTTTCATGGCTAAGGTGGGACTAGAATTCACCGTCTCCTGGTGATTGGCCCAAAGTCACCCAGCTGGCTTTCATGGCTAAGGTGGGACTAGAACTCACCGTCTCCTGGTGATTGGCCCAAAGTCACTCAGCTGGCTTTCATGGCTAAGGTGGGACTAGAACTCACCGTCTCCTGGTGATTGGCCCAAAGTCACCCAGCTGGCTTTCATGGCTAAGGTGGGACTAGAATTCACTGTCTCCTGGTGATTGGCCCAAAGTCACCCAGCTGGCTTTCATGGCTCAGGTGGGACTAGAATTCACTGTCTCCTGGTGATTGGCCCAAAGTCACCCAGCTGGCTTTCATGGCTAAGGTGGGACTAGAACTCACTGTCTCCTGGTGATTGGCCCAAAGTCACCCAGCTGGCTTTCATGGCTCAGGTGGGACTAGAACTCACCGTCTCCTGGTGATTGGCCCAAAGTCAGCAACAGAAATTTCAGGCTCAACTGCGGTCATAAGCCAAGGACTACTGGTATGAGGACCACCGTCTGATGACCTCAAAAGCCTTGGCTCGTGTTATTTCCTATGCATATATCGTAATTTCAAGTTCTTTCTTTTTAATCAAAACAGATTTCAAAATACTGGTTTTCTCCGGTGGCCTATGATGCCATAATGGTGCTGGCTTAGTAATGTGATGGGTGCTGTAATTCTTGCTATGAGAAAATTTCTGCAAATGAGAAATAAAATCTGGGGAACATATAGCTAAAGGGAAGGAAGAGCATTGTCAATCACTGCTTCAATTACAGAGCCAGCATCAGAACTGCAGGCTCAGAGGTGCATTTTGTAACTGTTGATCATAGGAAATGAGTCAGGCACATTGGTTATAATGGAATGGGAAGCTGAGAAAATGACTTTGGAAGAAGTGGTGAAATTCCCCTGCACAGATTGTAGATCTAGAACCAATCCCGTGTGTGCTTTGCTCATTGTCTCAAAACCTTTGTATTGCCTGCAGTTTGCTTTAAATCATGACGATACATTCATGAACCCAGGCACGGTGGGGCCACTGTATCAGAAGTCAAAAACCACAATGGGATTGTCCATGCAGACTGGGATTGTCAGAACGTTCTTCGGTTGTGTTGTGTCTCTGCTTGGCCATCCCAAGGGAATGGCATTTTGCTAAGAGCTCTTTCTATCAGTTGCTTTGACAGGATAGCCAAAGTAACTTAAAAATAAAGGTAAAGTTTCCCCTCGCACATATGTGCTAGTCGTTTCTGGTTCTAGGGAGCGGTGCTCATCTCCGTTACAAAGCTGAAGAGCTAGCGCTGTCCGAAGACGTCTCCGTGATCATGTGGCCGGCATGACTAAACACCGAAGGCGCACGGAACGCTGTTATCTTTCCCCCCAAAGGGGTCCCTATTTTTCTACTTGCATTTTTTTTCTTTGCATGCTTTCGAACTGCTAGGTTGGCAGGAGCTGGGACAAGTAACGGGAGCTCACTCCATTATGCGGCGCTAGGGATTCGAACCGCCGAACTGCCAACCTTTCTGATCGACAAAAGCTCAGCGTCTTAGCCACTGAGCCACCGCGTCCCTAACTTACAAAATATAGATTCGCAAAATGTCCGAGGCGTAACACCAGAGGACAATGTCTCTGCTAAAATGCCAGCAATCTTGGGGCAGGTAAAACAGGGGTGTCAAACTCGATTTCACTGGGGATCGCATCAGGGTTGTGTTTGACCTCGTGGGGGGCAAGTGGGCATGGCTGGGGTGGGTGTGGCCAGCAGAACATCATGCATGTCAGGGGCACCTGTGGTGGCCCCGGGTGGGGCTGCTGGGGGGATCCTCCTACAGTCCTCGCCAGTGAAAATGGAGCTCCTCCTGAATTCCATTTTCACTGGCAGAGGCACCGTTCCTTTGCTATTTCCAGGGCAGTCCCGCAGTCCAAATCTTGTGGGCTGGATATGGCCCCTGGGCCTTGAGTTTGACATCCATGAGGTAGAAGGACAAGTATGTATGTATGTATGTATGTATGTATGTATGATAGATAGATAGATAGATAGATAGATAGATAGATAGATAGATAGATAGATAGATAATTAGTTGCAAAGTTGTGTCTGACCCATAGTGACCCCATGGACAACATTCCTCCAGGCCTTCCTGTCCTCTACTATTTTCTGGGGTCTATTTAAGCCTTCAAACTTGACATCTTTAAGACTTGTGGACTTCAACTCCCAGAATTCCTCCTCCTGTCATGTTAGCTCAGGAATTCTGGGAGTTGAAGTCCACAGGTTTTAAAAACGCCAAGATTGGACACTCCTGGTTTACACCATAGTGATCAGGGATGTGAAATATCTCTTCTCCCTTATTATATCCACAGACTGTTTAGAGTAGCAAAAACCCTTTTAGGAACGGAGCAGTGGCGGGATTCAATTTTTTTTTACTACCGGTTCTGTGGGTGTGGCTTGGTGGGCGTGGCAGGGGAAGGATCCTGCAAAATCTCCATTCCCTCCCAATCTCACTAACCTGCTTTCCAGCTCCGTTCTCCTGTGCGGGGCAACCAAAGAAGACCCAGCCGATCAGCTGGGACTCAGGAGGCAGAGAATAGATGAGGGCAGGGCCAGTAGAGGGATGATATTTGCTGGTTCTCCAAACTACTCAAAATTTCCGCTACTGATTCTCCAGAACTGGTCAGAACCTGCTGAATACCACCTCGGGAACATATTCCCTATTGCCACTATGACTTCCTGCAGTGTTCAGCTTGTGCACTACGAGTGTTTTAATACTGTATTTGCTCTTCCACTGGACTTGGGACTCTGTAGTCCCGCCCTGTCAGTCCCGGAAGAAGGGAAGGACAAACCTTTCTGAACCTATTGCCAAGAAAAGTAGCTAACTTTCTCTAGGTAAGACTAGGGTATGAACCAAAGACAGAAACACAGTAACACGCCCTCTGGAAAGGGGAAATGCCAGCCGGAGATCCTCAGCCCTGAATTACAGAGGAAGCCCAACCCATTCATTTAGCAAACACTTGAAGTTACAACGGCACTGTAAAAGGTGACTTACAGTACAGCCATTTTTCACACCTAGGACTGTTTGCAGCATCTCCATGGGCACCGGATCAAAATTCAGACGTTTGGCAACTTGTTCCTATTTATGAGGATTGCGGTACCCCAGAGGGGTCGTGGAATCCTCATTTGTGACTTTCTGACAAGGAAAATCAATGGGGAAGCCAGGTTCCCTTAGCAATGGTGTTATAACTGAATCAATCAGAATAGAGCTGGAAGGGACATTGGAGGTCATCTAGTCCAACCCCCTTGCCCAAGCAGGAGACCCTATACAATTTCAGACAAGTGGCTGTCCAGTCTCTTTTTAAACACTTCCAGTGAAGAAGCACCCACAACTTCCGAAGGCAAAGCTGTTCCACTGGTTAATTGTCCTCCCTCTTAGGAAGTTTCCTCTTAATTTCCAGGTTGCTTCTCTCCTTGATCAGTTCCCTTCTTCTTGTCCTGCCTTCAGGTGCTTTGGAGGATAGCTTGACCCCTCCTCTTCCTTGTGGCAGCCCCTCAAATACTGGAAGACTGCTATCATGTCTCCCCTAATTCTTATTTTCTCTAGACTAGCCCTACTTAATTCCTGCAACCATTCTTCATAAGTTTTAGCCTCCAGGCCTTTAACATATGAAGAACAGTTGCGGGAACTGGGCATCAGTAATCTGGAGAAAAGCGATTCACAATCACAGTGACTTCCTCAACAATGGTGGCAAGCAAGATGGCAAAATGGGGCAAAATTCACTTAAGTGGAAGCTAAAACATGTGATGAATGGTTGCAGGAAGTGGGCCATGGCTAGTCTAGTGAAGAGAAGGATCAGGGGAGACATGAGAGCAGTCTTCCAATATTTGAGGGGCTGCCACAGAGAGGAAGGGGTCAAGCTATTTTCTAAAGCACCTGAAGGCCAGACAAGAAACAATGGATGGAAACTGGACAAGGAGAGATTCAACCTAGAAATAAGGAGAATTTTTCTGATAGTGAGAACAATCAACCAAGGGAACAGAAGTTGCCTTCAGAAGTTGTGGGAGCTTCATCCCTGGAAGCTTTCAAGAAGAGACTGGACTGCCATCTGTCAGAAATGGTCTCCTGCTTGGGGGTGGTGGTGGACTAGATGACCTACAAAATCCCTTCTGACTCTGCTGATCTGTCTCACTTAGCAACGGATTACTTTGGGCTCAACTGCGAGGCAACCAACCCCTCTTGATTGAACCGATCTTCCCAAAGGAGGGAACCCCCAAGGAAAAAGTTGGGAAGGCCGCCTCTCAACAGCGGGGTGGTCTGGAAGGGCGAAGCGAGTTCGCCTTTCTCTGGGCGGCCCTTCCAAAAAAGCGCAGCGTGCCAAAACGAGGAAAAAGAAGAGAGAGGGAAAGAGAGAGAGAGAGAGAGAGAGAGAGAGAGAGAGGGAAAGAGAGAGAGAGAAAGAGAGAAAGGGAAAGAGAGAAAGAGAGAGAGAGGGAAAGAGAGAGAGAGAGAGAGAAAGAGGAAGAGAGAGAGGAAAAGAGAGAGAGAGAAGCGAGGGGAAGAGGAGCGAGGGCCCAGCCTCCGAAGGCGTGGACAAAAGCAAAGGCAGAAGAAGTTCCTCCGCTTTTTTTTCTTTCTTGGCAGAAGCTTGAAGTAACCCGCCGAGGACTGTCGGTTTGAAGAGCAGCAAGCAAAACAAAACAAAACAAAAAACCGCCGGCCGAAACGGCACCAGGAGCACCCCGAGCGAGTCCACCCCGACCCAGATCGAGTCCACCCGGCTCCGATCGTCGGAAAGAGTCTCTCTCCCCTTCGCGGGTCCAAACGGGAGTTTGGCCGTCCCTCTCCGCCTCCTCTCTCTCGCTCGGCCGCTCCAGGCGCCTCCTCCTCTGAGGATTTGCAAGCCAAAAAGGACACCCGGGGGCTGGAGATCATCGGCGGCTCCATGGCTCCATGGCTGGGCCGGATGGCGCTGATTTGCGCTCTGCTGGTTCTCCTCCCGCGGCTGCCGCCGACTCGCGCTCAAGAGGAGCCGTCCTGCGGGGCCGCGTTCGACCTTTACTTCGTGCTCGACAAGTAAGGGGAAGCTGGGAGGAGGGGTGGGAAAGCAGGCCGGGGGATTCCCGCCCCGACCCCCGGGGAACCCGCGATCCCACCCCCCACTTTTCTCTCTCTCTTGCCCGCCTTGCAACATTGTAACCCGCGGTGATGTTGCAACAACAACATCAACACGCTCGCCGATCCGGGGGGGGGGGGGGGGGGGAGAGAGAAAAAAACAACAAACCTCACCACCCCCCAGTACCTCCGCAACTCCCCGCGCCGTGCAAGATTTCCCGGGCACGGGTGGTTTGGTGGTTGGTGGGTAGGGGTGAGTGGGTGCAGCTGCTGCTCCACAGGGGAGACCTCTGCATCCTTCATTACTTTTACACACGCACGCACGCACGCACACACCCACCCCGCTCCTCTTTTGATGCTCTCCTCGGCGCTTCGTCTGAACTCGAGAGAAGAGTGGAGGGTGTGAAACGTGCCGCGGTTGTGTGAAGCTGCAAAAGGGTAAAGGGGAAAAAAAAAAAGTTTGCAGCGCTTCTGGTTGCGCTTTTTGTATGGATCGAGGAGGGGGACGGGGAGGGAGGGGGGGAAGTTGCGTTGGCCTGAAGCGCGGGCACTCTTCGACTTACGACCGCAGCGGAGCCCAACGGTGCTGTGGGTTGATTTATTTATTTATTTTATTTTATTTTATTTATTTATTTTTGTCAATCGCTTACAGGATAATAGGTATAAGTAAAAACATAGTTATGAATACATGGATCCAAAGAAACAATAGGACAGGGACAGTTGGTGCACTTGTGCATGCCCCCTACAGACCTCTTAGGAAAGAGGTGAGGTCAATAGTAGACAGTCTAATAGTAGACAGTTCAAGTTTTTGGGGTTTTGGGGAAGAAACCACAGAGTTAGGTAGAGTATTCCAGACATTGACCACTCTGTTGCTGAAGTCATATTTCCTGCAATCAAGTTTGGTGCAGTTAACCTTGAGTTTGTATCTATTGTTTGCTCTTGTGTTGTTATGGTTGAAGCTGATATTAAGTGAGGTTTTGCCCTCTGTCTTGCCCACAGCGGTTAAAGGGAATCTCTGTCGTTGTATAAGTCAGTCACCCAGTTGTTAAACGAATCTGGCTTGCCCCCCATTGGTTTTGCTTGATCAGAAGGTCGCAAAACGAGATCCTGTGACCTTGGGACATAGCCAATGGGTCATAAATAGAACCGGTTGCTGAGCCTCTGAATTTCAATCCAGGGATCATAGGGATGCTGGCTGCCCAAGACTGAGAAACAGTGCTAAGGCACCGTTTTCAGAGCCGTTGTAACTTCGAACAGTCACTCAACGGGCTGCCATAAGTCAAGGACTCCTTGTCGTGTCAGGGGAAGAGATTTGAACTTGCAAGAATACGGAGCGGGAAGGTTAGTTGCCGAAGGAGAAGAGAGCAATATCTGGTAGAAATGAAATTTATGTGTAATTGACACGCATTGCGAACTGTTAAGAGGAAAGCATCGTGGATGTAAGAGGAGCAGTTGAGATGTTCCCTTTGTTCTTTGATGGGATTATTATGCAGACGAGAACACAGAACATAGAATAATAAGAGCTGGAAGGGACCTCGGAGGTCTTCTAGTCCAACCCCCTCCTTGAGCAGGAGACCCTATATCATTCCAGACAAATGGTTGTCCAGTCTCTTTTTGAAAGCCGCCAGTGATAGACCAGCCACAACTTCTGAAGGCAAGTTTAGTTTAGTTTAGTTTATTGTCACTGCACACCGTACAACGAAATTAATACCATCTTCAGTGTACTATACAGGAGAATTCAACAGAGCTACTGCCCTGGGATAGAAGCTGTTTTTCAGCCTATTTGTCCTTGTTTTTATTATTCTGTACCGCCTGCCAGATGGTAATAGTTCAAAAAAAAAAAAAGTGTACAGGATGAGATGGCTCTTTGAGAATGTTTTGAACTTTCTTTGGATGTCTGATCTATTCCTTCTAGAATAGAATGGAATGGATTGGAATGGATTGGAATGGAATGGATTGGAATGGAATGGATTGGAATGGATTGGAATGGATTGGAATGGAATGGATTGGAATGGAATAGATTGGAATGGAATGGAATGGAATAGATTGGAATGGAATAGATTGGAATGGAATGGAATGGATTGGAATGGAATGGAATGGAATGGAATGGATTGGAATGGAATAGATTGGAATGGAATGGAATTCTTTATTGGCCAAGTGTGATTGGTATTCTGCTTATTACTCTCTGGATGAGTATAAAGCATCCATACGAAGTCTTTTTTATTGGTTCATCAGGCATCCTTATCAACTCACAGTTATGCCGAAGTTCTTCTTAATGTCCAATCCTTTGCATATCTGCATTATGGTGTAGAAAGATAATAAACTCTCATCCCCATGATGATTGAAGCAGCTGCATGGTAATGGATTCAGGCAAGAGTGAGGGAGACTCCCCCAACCCAATGAGCGTGAATTTAGTGACCAATCAGGATTACAGATGTGACCACAAGACATGGACTACATTTCCCAGGATACCTTAACTACATTTACCATGATGCATTCCCTTAAGGGGACAGCTCTCAATTCCTAACTAACTATCCCAAATCCCATTAACTCTAAATTGTCTGGACAGCACAATTGGACACACAAGGAATTTGTCTTGGTGCAAATGCTCTCAGTGTACATAAAAGAAAAGATTCAAGAGTCAAGAATCATCAGGTACAACACTTAATGATAGTCATAGGGTACAATAAACAATCGAATCATACTAGGAAACAGTCAACATAAATCGTAAAGATACAAGTGACAAAGTTACAGTCGTACAGTCATAAGTGGGAGTGGATGGGTGATAAGGAGTGATGAGAAGATTAATAGTAATAGTAATACAGACTTTGTAAATAGTTGGACAGTGTGGAGGGAATTATTTGTTTAGCAGAGTGATGGTGTTCGGGGGAAAAACTGTCCTTGTGTCTAGTTGTTCTGGTGTGCAGTGCTCTATAGCGTCATCTTACCTTGATTGGACTTACAGTTATAGTTTTTGTTGACCATGTTTTGGACTTAATTCTCTGCAGTCAAAGGCTGTTCGTGGGAGAGTTTTTCTCCAGCCCAGAAGGTAACCAGGACATTGGGGACAAAGTTAGAGCTAATAAAGGGACTCCCACTGATTATCTGACTGTGTTGCCTTTGTGCCACACCCCTTTGGGTCACCACAGAGACTTTTTGTGACAGATATTGTGAGAAAAGTAATATGCCGCATGTGGATTGTTTTTTAAAAAAACGTGAAACTTCATAAAAGGCAAATGTGATTCATTTCAGTGGGATGCCTTTCAGAAAGAAAAGAAAAAGCGAGCTAAGAAGTTTCATTATCTTTAAATAAATGTTGCCAGAAGAACAGCAATAATATTAATGAGAGTTAAAAAAAGACAAAGCACAGGATGCTTTCAAAAACTCTGTCTCCAATGCCAGAAGGGGTCTCTATTAATCCAACAGTGAATTTCACTCTGTATCTCTGTGACCAGTGGTGGGATTCAATTTTTTTTTACTACTGGTGCTGTGGGCGTGGCTTGGTGGGTGTGGCAGAGGAAGGATACTGTAAAATCCCCATTCCCTCCCCACTCCTGGTGGAAGGATATACTGCAAAATCCCCATTGCCTCCCCACCCCACTAACCTGCTTTCCAGCTCCGTTCTCCCGTTCAGGGCAACCAAAGGAGACCCAGCAATCAGCTGGGACTCAATGGGAGGCAGAGAATAGATGGGGGCGGGGCCAGTCAGAGGTGGCGTTTGCAGGTTCTCCAAACTACTCAAAATTTCCGCTACTGGTTCTCCCCAGAACTGGTCAGAACCTGTGAATACCACCTCTGTCTGTGACGTACAGCGTAATCCTCAAATTAGGACTGCAATTGAGCCCAAAATTTCTGTTGCTAAACGGGATGGTTGTTCAGTGAATTTTGCCTCGTTTTATGAACTTTCTTTCCATGTTTGTTGAGTGAATCACTGCAGTTGTTAAGTTAGGAACACTGTTGTTTTGTGAATCTGGCTTTCCTGTTTACTTTGAATTGTCAAAAGGTTGTAAAAGGGGAGACGGCAACCATCCTAAATATGAACCAGTTGCCAAGCACCCAAATTTTGAACCCATGACCATGGGGAAGCTGCAACGTTTCTTACCTTCATAAGTGTGAAAAATAGAATATAGAGTAGAATAGAATTCTTTATTGGCCAAGTGTGATTGGACACACAAAGAATTTGTCTGGGTGCAAATGCTCTCAGTGTACATAAAAGAAAAGATACATTCGTCAAGAGTCAAGAATCATCAGGTACGACACTTAATGATAGTCATAGGGTACAATCAGCAATCAAATCATACTAGGAAACAGTCCATATAAATTGTAAGGATACAAGTGACAGAGTTACAATCATACGGTCATAAGTGGGAGGGGATGGGTGCTAACTTTCTACAGTACATAGAGGCCATGGTCCTTTTTTGCAAAACCTCACTGCCTTGTCCCACTGTGAGATAACAATAGCTTTCAACAGTTTTCATCTTTTGATCCCCTGCTAGTTTGAAAGTGGTTGTGTGTATTTTTAGCTGATGCTTGTGTTGCCAAAGGGGGATCTTGAAAATCAGCCCAAGTAATAACGAAACAAGCGAGAGAAAGATAGTATGTGAACAGCCGTTGCTTGTACTTATATGGTAGCGTGAGAAGGTGATTTGTAAGGTACATAGGAATTTATTTTGTTTTGTGGATTCCAACGAAATGGACGAGGGATTTTCTGGCCTAAATCCCACAATTTATGGTTTAGATCCATGCCCTTTCCCAGTTCTTTGGAAAACTCATGGGAAGATGGGAAAGGGTAGTGGATATGTATTTATATTTTATATAATTTATATTATATATTTGCATCCTGTCTTTATTGTTTTTACAAATAACTCAAGGTGGTGAGCATATCTAACATGTCTTCTGTCTCGTGTTTCCTTCACAACAACAACCCTGTGAGGTAGGCAGGGCTGAGAGAAAGAGTGAGTGGCTCAATGTCACCCAGTTGACCTTCATGTCTAAGATGGTTCTAGAACTCCCAGATTCCCACTCTCTAGCCTGGTGTCTTAACCACTACACCAAACTGGCTCCCTTCAATTTCTCTTAATGTCTCTTTGATGGACAAGGACATGTTTGTTCCTTTGTAGCAGAGTCATTGTGTGCTGTTCTTCGAATTCAGCTATTACGGATATCTGTCTACCTGCTTCCAACCTCCCCTTTTTATAGGAAAGTTTGTTGAGAAGTTGGTGGGAATTCAGTTACTGAAGGCCGTAGAAGAAGAGATTAGCTGAGCCCTTTTAAATAAACTTTTTAAAATCGGGTGTAGGACAATTCACCATGGCCAAATCACCTCGGGCAACTTGTCATGGCCAACTTGCTATGGCCAACTTGCCATGCAACACATGTTACATAATATTGAAGAAGTGGTGAAATAGAATTGTTGAAGAAAGGACGCAAAAGGTGGAACAAAATGAAATATGAATGATAAAAATTAAATTAAAAAAACACATTTCAATTCATTAAATAAAATTGCTGAATTGTCCTGAGTTGAGTTTTGTCCTATGGTGAGTTGGCCCTTTCTATTTAAAGTCAGCATTCTCCCTGTGCATGGAATAGAAATAATATTGTTGTTTTTGTGGGTGACCTATGTGGTAAACCGGTGGAAGGAATGCAACCCTCTTGGTTTTTACTTCATTTCTCCCTGGTGTTCAGTAGCATTAACTATAGTATCTTTCTGGGTCATTGCAAGAATTAGAGGTGCTGTTTTCAATAGGCCCATTGTTTCCAAAGCAAGTGGTGTCAATCATTTTAGGGGGCAGAGAAATCAGACAGGGGAATTCTTCCTTGGGGTTGTTCTCAGGCTTAGTTCACGCTTCTGCTTTAACTTTCACACGAAACCGCTGGGAGCGATTTGGTTCAGGGTGAAGCCTCATCCATTCCTTAATGACGTTCTAAAATGATAGAATTTATAGAGTTGGATGGGATGATGAAGAATGTATAGTAAAGCCCCCTGCAATATATTCAGGAAAACTAATCAAACCATCCTTACCCAGCCTCTTCTTAAAAAAAAAACTTTAGAGATGGAGAGCCCAACCTCCATTGGCAGATAGATCCACTGTTGTATAAATCTTACCATCAAAAAGTTTTCCATTTAAACCAGAGGTGTCAAACCTTGGCAACATTGAGACTTGTGGACTTCAACTCCCATTCCTCAGCCAGCCATGCTTGCTGAGGAATTCTGGAAGCTGAAGTCCTCAAATCTTAAAGTTGCCAAGGACGATTTAAACAAAACAACCGTTGATTTAAACAAACTTTAGGTCAGTATAATTTATACTCCTTATTTTGGGTCCTGTTTTTTGCGGACGTGGAGCAATAGTTCTTGTGACCACACTCCTTGTAGCTTCTCTTTATGGACCTGTGCATGACTGTCATGTCTTCTTACCTCTTCTTTCCTTCAGAATCCCAAATTCCTTCACTTTCCACTGTAATCCCAATCTTTATTTTCCCCCTATATTTGTTATTTGTTCTGAAAAAGAAGCACCTCAAATAAGGTGTGATCCTACCTGTGTGATAAATAATGATAAATCATGACTTCTTGCATCTTTGATAACGATCTTTGATTTGTATCAAAGATTGTATCGAAGCTCATCACTAGGTTAGGCCTGTTCCACATTACTAACTCATATTCAGCATGGTGTCCATGACTCAATCCAAGTCCTTCTTAGATGCTTCCAAGTCAGGAACTCTTAATTTTTGCATGTGTCTTCTACATTCCTTTCTTGCTAATGTAATGCCATATTTCTCCCTGTCTTGTTCATCCCAATTCAATTTTCCAAGTGTTGGCCAAACCTCTCAGTCTTATGTCATCATAACATTTTATTAAGTAGCTCATTAAATTCCATCCTCTAGACCAGGGGTCCCCAACCACCGGGCCCCGGACCAGTACCGGTCCGTGGATCATTTTGTACCGGGCCGCCTACTTTGCTTGGGCACCGCCATCTTGTTTTGACAGCACTTGAGAAAGTGCTTCTGGGTGAGCTTGTCGGTTGTCGGTTGGAAAGCGGCGTTTGGGTGCTGAAGGAATCCTCGCGCCTTAGTTTCGTCGAAGGGGGCGGGCAGCTTCGAACGAAGAGCCGTCCCGATGGCGGTGGAGTCTTGCGTTACTCAGGAGGAGATTAAGAAAGAGCCCGAAAAGCCCATCGACCGCGAGAAGGTACAAAGGAGGAGTTGAAGGTGGCGGGGAGAAGCGGGGGACAGCTGGCTGGCCGGTCGCTCGGCTCGCCTTGCCTTGGTCGTGCGTGCTGATGCCGGTACCAGTCCGTGGATCATTTTGTGATGCCGGTACCGGGCCGTGGTACAAAAAAGGTTGGGGACCACTGCTCTAGACCAATAGTTACAAAATTCCGGCCACAAGACCTATCTCCGTCTAACTCCATAGGTTGCTGATGTCTTGCTTGACATAGGTTCATAAGTGATGACACTCTGAATTCAGTAGGGTTCTGACACTGTAACTGTAATTCTGTTTTCATTTGGGGAGGTGTTCTTTTATTACTTCAAACATTAAATACTGTATTATAGATATTTGATGGTTACCAATCACTTTCCACTGAGGAGAACTACTATAAATATCTAAATAGTATAATTATATAATTAGTTGTGGTCACCACACTATAAAAAAGATGTTGAGACCCTAGAAAGAGTATAGAGAAGAGCAACTAGGAGGATCAGGGGACTGGAGACTAAAACATATAAAGAACAGTTGCAGGAACTGGGCTTGGCTAGTCTTGGGAAGAGAAGGACCAAGGGAGACATGATAGCAGTGGTCCAATATCTGAGGGACTACCAGAGAGAGGAAGGGGTCAAGCTATTTTCCAAAGCACCTGAAGGCTAGACAAGGAATAACGGATGGAAGCTGAACAAGGAGAGATTTAACCTGGAAATGAGAAATTTTCTGACAGAGCAATCAACCAACGGAACAGAAGTTGCTTTTGGAAGAAGTTGCTTTCGGAAGTTGTGGGGGCTTCATCACTGGAAGCTTTCAAGAAGAAACTGGACTGCCATCTGCTGGAAATGGTTTGGGGCTCCTGCTTGGGCGGGGGTTGGACTAGATGACCTACAAGGTACCTTCCAAATCTGTTAATCTGTTAATTTGTTAATAATGATACCAGTAGTCCTTGATTTACAACCGTAATTGAGCCTAAAATTACAGTTGTAAGTCATGCCAGTCATTAAACAGGTTACCATGTGATCATAATTGATTTTATGACCTTTTTGCAGCAGCCCTTAAGTGAATCACTGTGGTCATTAAATGGATACTGTGGTTGTTAAGTAAACACAGCAGTTGCTCAATAGTGGTGTTGGTGGTGGTGGTCTGTGTGTGTGTGTGTGTCCTAGAATTTAGGATCCAGTTTGTAGATAGCCTTGAGGAAGTCTGTTGTAACTTCAACCCATCGCTTAATGACTAGTCGTAAGTCGGAAACTAAATGTGGCAGGAAAGTCTGAATCCTTCATGAAAACTGTTTCAAAGAAGTATTTTAAGAAATTTAAGAAGCTTATTGGTACTTAATCAACATTCATTTTGGCTCTTTTTTTATAGATCAGGGAGTGTAACATCACACTGGTCAGAAATTGTTGAATTTGTGAAGCAGCTGACAGAAAGATTTGTGAGGTAAGTTGTCGAATGAGTCAGAAAGAACCATATTTCCTTTTTTTCTGGTTAGTTTTCTCTTAATTTCCTGTTTCCCCTGGAGACTATGAATAGTTTCATATTTTCATTGCAAATGAGTTCGAAACTAGATTTGGCTTGTTCTTAACAACATAAGAACGTATGTAAGTTGAAAAATAAGCTGGAACATGTTTATATCATATTTCCAACACTTACTAAGAATATGTCTAGAAATGGCCATTTAGAGTGGAGTTTGAGCCTGCATTATAGGATACCAAATACAATTCTGACCAAAATGATGGCCACAGAGCAAAATAAAAAATAAAAATGGAGGGACAGGAAGAGATTACATATATAGTAAGAGTAAAAAAATACTATTTATCAGAATGTAAAAAAAGAGTTGCTTTAAATCAGCCCTGCAGTGAAAAAGAAGAACAAAAACAGAAAATAACATTTTTGGTCCCTTAGTTTTTCTTTCCTCTTTCTTCTTCTTCTTTTCATTATACAATCACATCTTTTCATGGATTTTCAGGAAAGCAGCTGTGGGACACCAGGCATTTATTGATATCTATGGTTTTCTGACTTCTTCCCAAGGATGTTACACAGATGTGCGCAACATCTGCCTTATAATGGCAGCATGATTTTGATCATGGCACTCCTGAGACAAGAACAAGATTATTTTTAAAAGTATGGACGATGCTCAAGTCTAGTTAAACACAGGACCCTTTGAGTCTTGGAAGCAATTCCATATAGACATCACCGCACTTAATTGTTTCCTATGGCAAATGCAGTACAGTTAGGCAATTGTGTTTGGCCAGCTGGGGCAAAACCATGTGGAAGAGGAATCTTAATTGCAACGCATCTAGCTTCGTAGGGCAGAAAACAAAGCCTCTATACAGTATAAGGAAAGAAATCTGATTGGTTTCTTTTTCCTGGTACAATGTAAGTGAATAAAAAGAGTAATTGGCAGAGGTCACAGAATCTGGAATTTCAGTTATTGGCAACCGAGATGCTTGTTCCTTCCAAAAATGATCTGATTGCCCATTCCTGAGTCTTTTGGTCACTCTTGATTTCGACAAGAACTCCACCCTTTTATTTCTGAACTGACGGGAAAATAAATGACTTGGTGGAATCGTTCTTAACAGCTTTTGAGATTTTGTCCTTGTTTCCCTCACTCCTTTTCTTTCTTTCGGGAAAAAGAAGAAGGGCTCCATGCTTGACAAATGCTGTTCAGTGCAGCATATGGTAAAAATTCTGAGCAGGTTTCATTTTCAGAATTAGATCACTCCAAGTAAGGCTCGTACATCTGTTCCCCATTTTTCCTCCTTTTCTGGGCCTGAACGACTGAGGCCTCAAGTTACAACATTAACACATGTTTCGGTTTCTTTTTAAGAGCTTCAAATATTTAAAAACGGATGTTGAAAAAAGAATGGGAATGTATGCTTATGTATTTCTCCCCGAATGGAATTCCTTGATGGTGGGATTAAAAAATGTATATCTGTAAACATACAAAAAGGTTAAAAAAAAAGAGTATTTGGCAATGATGAGATCTATCTTTAGACAAAGAAAAATCAATGGAGGAGAATGCTTGAGATGGCTCCCTCGGATTAAATAATAATTGGAGGACACAGAATGGCCCGCTTTGCATGATAACAGTCTCTCCTTCATTTTTCGTGACAACTTGTGAGACAGGTGCTTGACGTGGTCTTTCTGGACCTTCCTGGGCTGTAAAATGACCCTACACCAAGGATCTTCAAACTTGTCAAGTTTAAGACTTGTGGACTTCAACTCCCAGAATTCCTGAGCTAACATGACTGGAGGAGGAATTCTGGGAGTTGAAGTCCACAAGTCTTAAAGCTGTCAAGCCTACACCCTCATGTACATAGGACATATGCACTGTACGCAGACAGCTCTGAGATAATACTGAAATGTCTGCAAGCAAATGAACCAAGCTCAAAAGAGCACCAAATCTAGCAGTATGAGCCATGGTGGCGCAGTGGTGCAGTGGTTTGAGTGCAGAACTGCAGGCTACTTCTGCTGACTGCCGCCAGCCTGCAATTTGGCAGTTCGCATCTCACCAGGCTCAAGGTTCACTCAGCCTTCCAAGGTGGATAAAATGAGGACCCAGCTTGTTGGAGAGCAATAGGCTGACTCTGTAAACTGCTTAGAGAGGGCTGCAAAGCACTGTGAAGTGGTATATTTGTCTAAGTGCTAGTGCTAAGAAGGAAGGAAGGGAGGGAAGGAAGGAAATAGATTGTTGGGGACGATAGGCTGACTCTGTAATCTGCTTAGAGAGGGCTGCAAAGCACTGTGAAGTGGTATATTTGTCTAAGTGCTAGTGCTAAGAAGGAAGGAAGGGAGGGAAGGAAGGAAATAGATTGTTGGGGATGATAGGCTGACTCTGTAAACTGCTTAGAGAGGGCTGTAAAGCACTGTGAAGTGGTATATAAGTCTAAGTGCTATTGCTATATATTCTGCTTTCAGAATAGATGAACTATAGAATTGCCAACCAACATGTTATGTACCGTATACTAGATAATTCTCTGTGTGGTCAAATTAAAGAATCCTTCAAATGTTCCGGCTTACATGGCTGAAGTTTAATGTTTATCTTTCTCTTTCTCATCTTTAAAAGCCCTCGGATGAGGATATCTTTCATTGTGTTTTCCATGCAAGCAACTGTGATTCTGCCACTAACCCAAGATAGGTAAGTAAATGTTGGCATTGCCCATTTTTAAATGCTAGCAAATACTTTTTTTTTTTAAGCAACAGAACTGTGAACCTTTTCAGCAATTAGAATTATAAAGCTACAATAATTGGATAAGCAGTGTTAGATCAAATTCAGGCCTCTTAGGGATTATCTGTTTATCTAACATATGAATGGTCATGTTTAATTGCTATTTTGACTATCTCTTTCAGGGCATTTAAAGTCAGATACAAGTCCTCTGACTCATAATCACATACAGGTAGTCCTTGGTTTATAACCAGAACTGAGCCCAAAATTTCCCATTGCTAAGCAAGACAGTTGTCAAGTGATTCCCTGCCTTATTTTACAACCTTTCTTGCAACACTTGTTAAATGCATCAGGGCAGTTGTTAAGCTAGTAACACGATTATTAAATGAATCTGTTCCCCCCAGTGGTGGGTTTCCACATTTTTTCCTACCAATTCTATGAGAGCGCGCACTGTAGCGATGCTGGAACTGCATAAGTCTGAGAACTGGTCATAAGTCAGGCTTTTTTCAATGCACTGTAACTTAGAATGGTCATTAAATGAGTGATGGTAAATCAAGGACTACCTGTATATGGTATATAGTGGGGTTAATCTTATGGAACATATTTAGTTTTGATTCAGTTGGACGGTAAAGTATTGAGATCCAGTTTAATTTTCCCCCATTACTTTTTTGGAGTGCAGACGCCGACGTGTCACTCAAACTTCAACTACAGTCTTTGATTAAAAGAAATAATGGGCACCTTTTAGGTCCAAACCACGAGTCTGCTTTCTCACTTCATTCTAGTGGCCTGTTACCAAAAGTTGCCATGGCGACGTAGTGGTTAGAATGCAGTATTGCAGGTTAATTCTGCCCACAGCCAGGAGTTTGATCCTGACCGGCTCAAGGTTGACCTCAGCCTTCCGTCCTTCTGAAGTCTGGCCAAATGAGGACCCAGATTGTTGGGGGCAACAGGCTGACATTTGTAAACAGCTTAGAAAGGGCTGCAAAGCAGGATGGAGTAGTATATAAACGCTATTGCTATTGTTAGCAAAATTTCGGGGAGCATTTTGAAAACTCTGCTGTGCCCTCTAGATCAGGGGTCCCCAACCCATGGTTCATGGACTGGCAACGGGCCACGGCAGGCCAGAAACTGGGTCATGCAAACAAACGAAGCCTGTGGTGGCCTGTCAGTTGCTGGCCCCTCCAGCAGCCGAATCAGAGGAGAAGCAGGAGGCGTGGGAGTCAGGGTCAGCATCAGGGGGCAACCTGAGAGCTCCGAGGAGGAAAAGGGAATGGAGCTGGCAGAGAGACAGAGGCAGAGCCTGGGCCATCCGTCAGCCCTCAGATGGAGGGTCAGCGGCCCCCAGGTCTGGAGGTGGCTGATGAAGAAGAGGAGGAACAGCTGGGTCCAGTGCCTGATGCGTGGATGTGCAGAAGGAAGAAGAGAGGAGAGCAGTGGAAATCTATGGGCCGGTCCTTGGGAAGGAAGAGCCACTGCTGCTAGCGAAGCCACCCCGCCAGCTCTGGGGATAAAAGGCAGGGAGGGGGAGATGAATAGGTGTGGCAGACAACTATTCATCTCCCTGCCAGACGGTGAGAGAGAAACTTTTTGCCGGGGCTGCCGGCGCTCCTAATTAAAGGAATCTTTGAGTTCACTTCAGAGGGTTTGTCGTGTTTGGGGAGCTGGGTCAGAACAAAGCCCCATTTGCAGGATGCTGGCAGTACGCAAAACCACACACCCCTCTGGTTCGTGGAAAAAGCTCTCTCCACAGAACCGGTCCCTGGTGCCGAAAACAGTGGTGGTATGCCACCGGTTCGGACTGGTTCGGCTGAATCGGTAGTAAAAATACCCTCCGACGATCAGCTGAGAGAAGGGGGAAAAAAGCCTCCAATCCACTGAGAGGAAAAAGAAGAGAAAAGCGCAGAATTGGGCCTCCCACACGCCCCTGCTCTTTTCTCCTCAGTATCCTCTCAGCTAATTGGCGCCTCAGGCCTCAGGCGGTGTGTCGAAAGCTGCGTGTATGTGTTAGGTGCGTGCGCGTTAGGTGTGCGCGCGATCATGGAAGTGGTAGCGGAACAAGTAGGATCCCCATTGCTGGCCGAAAAGGTTGGTCGGGGGGGAGGGGTCTCTGCTCTAGATGCTGAGTCACGCAGAAGCATTCACGGGGGATGCTAATGTATGAATTGGGAGGGAGCCACGTTGCCTTCTCCAATCTGACATCAAGAATGAAGGACTTGGCGCCGCGAGCATTAAGTAGGGGGTTTGGAAGGGAGACAACCAGCATGATAACTGTGAGGGATAAAAATGTGCCTTTGCTGAAAGACAGAGGTGCGAGATGCTTCTGCATATGTTCCACCAAGATGTTCTATTTGTAACTGTGAAGCAGCCTCCAAGCTGCCATCAACGGTTTTGTCTTCTTTTGCTTTGGTCTCGAATTCTAAGTGGATTTCACAAACCTTCCAGATTTCGCTCGGTTATTTCAAGGTAGCCAGCTCTTCAGAAGTTGGCTGTTTGCTTTTGCTGTAGCAAACCATCACCTATTCCTCTGTGCAAATGTCGGCTTTTGTGGTTTAAATATGTTTCGATGTGTCCAGGATTACTTCCAGCATCGGGGAAAGGATCCAGAACCGAGGGAGGTTTTTTTGGGGGGAGACGGGGCATGCGAAAGGCTTTGCGTTTAAGGAAAACAATCAGGAAATGGGCATCCACCACAGGGCGGATGGTGAAGAAACATACACGGTGGCATCATGATAGCAACTCTGCTGTACGCACTTGTGTTCAGACATTGCAACACACGGTTTCATCATTTCAGCTTCAACTTCACTTCAGCTTCAACCGCAACAATACAAGAGCACACAACAGATACAAACTCAATGTAAACCGCTTCAAACTTGATTGGACAAAGTACGACTTCAGCAACAGTGCCTGGAATGCACTACCTGACTCTGTTGTTACATCCTCTAACCCCCACTCCTTTAACCTCAAACTATCCACTATTGACCTCACCCCATTCCTAAGAGGTCTGTGAGGGGTGTGCATAAGTGCACCATCGTGCCTCCCGTCTCTGTCCTATTGTCCCCATTTAGTTGTACCTATTTTCTGTATTCTTACTCATGTTTATACTTATACAAAAAATGTTTTCAAAGAACACACACACACCCTGCCCCCCAAGAAAGTCCAGTTGCCTTTTGGAAAAAAAATAATGCATTTTTAGCAATAGCACATAGACTTATATACCACTTTACAGCCCTCTCTAAGAATCAGCCTCTTGCCCCCAACAATCTGGCCCCTCATTTTATCCACCTCAGAAGGATGGAAGGCTGAGTCAACCTTGAGCTTGGTGGGATGCGAACCGCCAAATTGCAGGCAGCTGGCAGTCAGCAGGAGTAGCCTGCAGTACTGCACTCTAACCACTGTGCCACCGTGGGCTTCCTCCTCCTATTTTCTCCACAAGAACAACCCTGTGAAGTGGGTTGAGCTGAGAGAAAAATGACTGGCCCAAAATCACTCAGAATAAAGGCAGGACTTGAACTCATAGCCTCCTGCTTTCTAGCCTTGTGCCCTAAATTTCTCAAGGTATCACACCAAGGTTAAATCAAGCCATTGCTAAGTTCTTTCAGTATTTTACGATGCAATCCATCTGTCCTGGGAGATTTGAGCTCATTCAGAGTAAAGAGCTATTTTCTAGACTATTTTCAGTTTTCTCCTTTCATTTGCAGGTTTTAATCCAGCCCCTTCATCTTTTTTTTTTCCCAGTTGCCCAGCGAGACACATTTTTACTCATTGGAGAAGAATTAGGGCAAAGCAGGAACTGACTTTTTCTCTGTTAGTAATTTTCTGTGTTTACTGAGCATCTGACATACTGATTTTCTCTCTTCTTTTTATTTTGAACATATTGAAATAAGTTCTTTTTATTACATTTGGCACCCCGTATCATTCTCAGCTTTAGCTTTCTTGCCAATCTTTAGTTCTGATCTAAAGTTAGTTTTGATCTACCTGTAAGTATGTTTTTTGTGGCCTCTCATTTTTCCCCACCTTGTTTCTTCTTTGAAAGGAGCATTCCTGCGGAAGAAGAATCCAAATGCCTTCTGCAAAATATATATATCTTTCCTCATTAGTCTTTTTAGATTTGGAGAATCTTAACAATCACGATACAATTCTACATTTGTTTTCTGAGGTTTTTGCGGGTATTTGTATGTGGATCTTTGGTTATTCGGGTTTTCTCCCGCGTAAAATTGGAAGTATCTAGGCGACGTTTCGATGAAGTCTCATTCATCATCTTCAGGCTTGTGTCTTCGGCTTTGTGCTTCTCAGAGTCATACAAATTCTACATTTGTATCCAGAGGTGGGCTTCAAAAATTTTAGCAAAGGGTTCTCTGCCCGGTTGCTGGGTGGGTGTGGCCACGGTGGGCGTGGCCTATCCAGCCTTCTGCACCATGGCGGTGATGGGGGGAGTATTTTTGCCCTCCCTGGGCTCCGGAGTTTTTCCTTGAGCCTCCGGGAGGAAAATAGCCTCCCCGGACTCCGGAGGCTCTCTGGAAACCAGAAACGAGCCCATTTCCGGCCTTCTTGAACTTCCGGGAGCTCCGTTTTTTGCCCTCCCTGAGCCTCTGCACAGGCCCTGCACTTGCCCGCATCCAAAATGGGCCGTTTTGGGACTCCTGGGAGGGGAGGGCCGGGCGGGGCCAGGAGTGGAATTTGGGGGTTCTCCGAACTGCACAGAATCTTAGCTAGGGGCTCTCCCGAACCCCTGCAATACCCCCAGCAGCCCACCCCTGCTTGTATCTCAAAATAAGAAAAACAACAACAAGAGAAATAACCAATATTCACAGTTCAAAACATAGTCAATTTTCACAATCAGCCTAGAACAGTGGTGGCTAATCTTTTTGGGCTCCTGTGCCAAAAATTGTGCGTGCGCTTGCATGCTCGGGCTTGTGTGCCAGCACCCAGAAGGCAATGCGTGCCTCCCCATGCCCCCTACATATGTGTGCTCAATTCCCACCCATCCACCCACCCCCGCCATCCCCTTACTTGCACTGCACCTCACATCTGATTTTCAGGTGTTTTGAGGCCTTTTGCGGCCTCCCAGAGGCTTTAGGAAGGCTTCTGCAGGCTTTTCAAGCCAAAAACTAGGCCCGTTTCATCACTTCCGGTATTTCCGGAAAAACAGGAAGTGATGAAACACGCCTAGTTTTTGGCCTTAAAAACCCTGCAGAAGCCTTCCTAAAGCCTCTAGGATGCCGAAAAAGGCCTCAAAACGCCCGAAAATCAGCTGTGAGGTGTACGTATGTGCAGTGAGGTAAGTTTGCCTGCTGGTCGCGTACCGGCACAAATGGGTCTGCATGCTACCTGTGCCATAGGTTTGCCATCACGGGCCTAGAAGTTCAATCTAGGAGGAACCAAAGTCTTGGAGTTAAGAGAACTGATATAGATGAGTGAAAAGAACACATTAGGAAGGAAAGTTTCTATCTGCCTACCGCTCCAGAAAATATGGGTGTTGCAAAATTGAGCTTTATTAGTTGGTTTAAACTAAGATAAGCAACTTTTATTTTTCTTCTGCTCTTTTTTTAAATTTTCTTCACTCAAACAGCAGCCACATTTGGTGGTCCTCCACCTTCCTCACTACCACCACCACCTCTTCCTCCTTCTCCTCTCCCTGTTCTTTTCCTGCTCCTCCTCCCCCTGTCCTCCTCCTCCTCCTCCTTCCTTCCTTGACCTGCTCCTGCTCCTCCTCTCCTCCTCTTCCTTTCCCTGTCCTCCTCCCCGCTTCCTTGTCCCTCTCCTCCTCCTGCTCCTCCTCTCCCTGTCCCTCTTTTCCTGCTCCTCTTCCTCCTGCTCCTCATCTTCCTGTCCTCCTCCTCTTCTCTTCCTGTCCCTCTCCTCCTGCTCCTCTTCCTCCTCCTGCTCCTCCTCTCCCTGTCCCCACTCCTCCTTTTTCTGTCCCCTTCCTCCTCCCTTCCCTGTCCTTCCCCTCCTCTTCTCTTCCTTGTCCCTCTCCTCCTCCTGCTCCTCCTCCTTTCCCTCTCTTCCTCCTCCTGCTCCTCCTCCTTTCCCTCTCTTCCTCCTCCTCCTCCTCCTCCATTACAACCCAGATAATAATCTCTTTTTTTACCACGAATAATCTCTTTTTCCACCGTGGAAGCCACTGCATTTTCTTTTCATACTCATTGGGCTCCATAGCTGAAATAGGGCTGCAGGTGTCCAAAAGTGCGGGGAGGTCTTGGTTCTATGCTGAATAAATAAAACTGAACTGATTGTACGAAGAGCTATTTTTTGCATTGCAAAAAATCTGGTTTGAAAAAAAGAAAATGGGGGGGGGGGGGGGGAAAGAAAGAAAGCAACCCGGGAACTTGATTTGTCATTTGTTTCTTGGCAGCAGAACTGCCAGAGCCTGCGGACAGTCTGCCAGACATCCCCTGGCAACCAGAGAGCGTCTGCTTGGTAATCTGCATTCGTACATAACCAGTTTCAGGTTGTTTTCAATAGACGCCGAGTGTAAAATATTTTGGATTAAACAGATTGCATTGACTTTATGTAACTCGTTCAGCTGCCATCTATAGCGCACAGCATGTCTTCGGTGGCAACCAGAACTGGTAGTACAGATTTAAATGGATTGTTGAAAGGGTTTTCCCTCCCTCCCTTCTAGTCTACTTTTTCAATTGTGGGTGAGAGGGATGAAGTGGAGAGTGATTCAGAAATTCGAAGTCTGCAAGTTTCTCTATATAGCAATAGCCCTTAGACTTATATACGGCTTTACAGTGCTTTACAGCCCTCTCTAAGCGGTTTAGTCAGCCTCTTGCTCCCAACAATTTGGGTCCTCATTTTACCTACATTGGAAGGATGGAAAACTGAGTCAACCTTGAGCCTGGTGAGATTCGAACTGCCAAATTGCAGGCAGCTGGCAGGCAGCAAAACTTGCCTGCAGTACTGCACTCTAACCACTGTGCTACCGTGGCTCATAAATACCTTATTTATTTATTTATTTCCTTATTTATTTATTTATTAAATTTCTATGCCGCTTGCAACGAGATAAAAGTGGCAACATAAACAATTTAAATGATTAAATATTAGTGTTAAAATTAACATGGATAGCTAAGGAAGGAACTGTAGGAGAAGAGCAGGCAGAGCTGAGGGTGGGCGGAGTTAAGCACGTTAGCAGCTTAGAGTCGTTGTGTTGCCACAAAAGGTCCAAGTCCAATCCGTCTAGAATTCTGTTGACCCTTATCTGGCGCCAGTTTAGGATTGAACTTTGACGAGATCCTTGTATATAGTCTTGAGCAATACATCTTCTGAACTGGAATTTAACATGTCCTGATTATTCGCACCTAATACTTATAGGCCAAATTCATCATGGGCCATGAATCTGTTTAGGTGTAGCTATCGAAAGCAAAATGTTTTAGGAATCTGGAGTGAATACTTTTGAGTAGAGGAAATCTGTATTTACAAATCTTTTATCTCCAAAGATCTGTCAAGCTACTAGAAAATGAGTTAATTCCAGTAATTTTGGTCCCTTTAATAAACGTTTTCATGATTTCCCCCTTATTTTTAGGCAAAACATTCAGAGAGGCATTGAAGATTTACAAAACGTTAAGCCAGGAGGTGAAACATATATGCACGAAGGATTACAAAAAGTAAGTTCTGTGCATTTTCTGTAATTGGAGATGCAGTGTAGTTCATTGCCGTTTGAGAACTTTCAACCTTTTGAATCATTATTTGCATTTTTTTTTTTTAAAAAATGGTAGTATTTCTACCCTGCTTCACTCCTGAAGAATTCTGGGCAGCATACAGGATGTTGATGAGTCTGTTCTGGACTGGAAAGCTCTTTTACAAAATAATACAAATACACACACATCGATAAACAGACAAAGAACAGGAAAACAGAGCTGAAAGGGACTTTGGAGGTCTTCTAGTCCAACCCTCTGCTCAAGCAGGAGACCCTATATCATTTCAGACAAATGGCTGTCCAATCTCTTCTTAAAAACCTCCAGTGATGGAGCACTTACATCTTCTGGTGGCAAGCTGTTCCACTGATTAATTGTTCTCACTATCAAGAAATTTCTCCTTAGTTCTGGGTTGCTTTTCTCCTTCATTTGTTTTCGTCCATGGTTTCTTATCTTGACTTCAGGTACCTTGAACACCTTTTCCTTACGGCAGCCCCTCAAATACTGGGACACTGCTATCATGTCACCCTTAGTCCTTGTTTTCACAAAAGACTAGACATACCCAATTCCTGCAACCATTCTTTGTATGTTTTAACCCCCTAATCATCTTTGTTGCTCTTCTGTTCGCTTCTCAACCTCTATTTTTGTATCATGGTGACCAAAACTGGGTCTAAGAGCTAAGCAGATTTTTTCAGGATGTAGAAAGGGAAGATGAAATGACGATGTAATATCTTTGGGAGGAAACAGCTTCCACCAGGGCACCTAAGAGGAAACTAAAATGATCACTCTATGAATCGAAGAAAGATTTCATTGCTAACTAAAGTAAAAGCAAATAAAAAATGCTTTCTCTAAATGGATTTGTGGTGTTAGCGATGGGAAGGAAAACCACTTCATTAACATTGGATTCAGTCCAATAGTGTAATGGGCTGTAAAAATAACCTTGAGGTACAGGACGAAGAACCACAAACAAGACAATGGTTAGATCAAAGGAATTTGAGTCTCTGGCAGAAATATAATTTGAGAACCGTTCCTTGTTCTCACAAAGATACAGTGAAGGAAGGGGAAAGCACATTCTGTTATTGTAATCCTATAATAAAAGTAATACAAGTCGTTTTTGACTTACAGCCATTTATTGGTGGCAGGTACTGAAAAAAACTAAGAAATTTCCTGACTGTGAGAATAATTAATAAGCGGAAGGACTTGCCTCTAGAAGTTGTGGATGCTCCAACACTGGAGGTTTTTAAGAAGAGATTGGACAACCATTTGTCTGAAATGGTTATAGGGTTTCCTGCCTGAGAAGGGGGTTGGACTAGAAGACCTCCAAGGTCCCTTCCAACCCTGCTATTCTGTTCTCTTCTGTTCTGTTCCGCTTCGCTCCATTCCATTCCATCCCATCCTATTCTGGTGACTTATAGCCATTTTTCAGCCATACAACTTTTGTAGCATCCCTGCCGTCACATGATTATAATTTGGACGCTTGGCAACTGGCATGTATTGATGATAGCTGTGCTGTCCCGGGGTCATGTGATCCCCTTTTGCGACCTTCTGACAAGCAAAGTCAGTGAGACAGTTGTTGAGTGAGTTTTGCCTCATTTTGCAACCTTTTTTTTTTTGCCAGAGTTGTTAAGTGAATCACAGCAGTTGTTAAATTAGTAACAGAGTTGTTCAGTGAATCTGGCTGCCCCATTGACTTTGCTTGTCCGGAAGCCACAAAGGATGATCACATGGCCCCGGGACACTGCAACGGTCACAGATATGTTCAGGGGTGGGATTCAAAAATCCCAGCAACTGATTCATTGCCCGGTTGCTGGATGGCCATGGCCAGGAGGGCTATTTTTCACCTTCCCCAGGGTCCGGAGGCTTCCCTCGGGCCTCTGGCAGGGCGAAAACGGCCTCCCCCGGGCGTCGCAGGCTCTCTGGAAGCTGGAAACAGGCCCGTTTCCGGACTTCCAGAAGGCTCCCAGAGCCTCTGCGCGGACCCTGCACTTACCTGCATCCAAAATGGGCAGCGTGGAGACTCCTGGGAGGGGAGGGGCCGGGTAGGTGGGGCCAGCGGGTCAGTTCAACTATCAGTTCAGCGTACTAAATGTAAATTTAACATCCGGTTCGGGCGAACCGGTCCAAACCAGCTGAATCCCATCCCTGGATATGTTCAAATACTTTTATTTCTAACTGGAAACCGATTCTGGACTTTGTACTTGAGATGAGGAAAAAAAAAATGAAATGTTGATTTTGGGGTTTTACCAATAGATTTGTTGTTGTAGAAATGGCTACTTTAAACTATTATGTAAAAGTAAAAAAGTTGAGGTTTGATGTTAATGCCTTATTCTATTGCACCAAAGGGAGTTGGAAGTCAATGCCTTTCCCCACCCCCTTTTTTTCCCTTCTTTTCCCTTCGCTTTCCCTTCCCTATTTTTCCTACTATTCGCTTTTGTATTTTCTTTGTATGTCACAACATACACTAATAAAATTGCTACAATACAATACATACCCCGTCATATATATTCAAGTCACTTGCCAATCGTCTTGAATTTTGATGAGGATGCCACAATAGTTGTAAGTGTGAAAAACGTAATGAGTCAGTTCTTTTCAGTGCCGTTGAAACTTCCAACAGTTACGAAACAAGCCTTTGTAAGTTGAGAAACTACCTGTATATCCTTCACGTTGAACATTAAACGTAAGAAATTGGGTGCAGCTAGATCAGTGCTTAACTCCTTGTGGTTCACCATTTCTATCCTCCATTTCTTGCTCTTCTCCACCTCCAAATGCAATTGTAAGAGCACGAATTCTTTTGTTTTTTTTTCCAGGCAAATGATCAGATTGCAAAAGAGAAAGGGTCCAGCAGTGTAATCATTGCCTTGACAGATGGAAAGTTGGAAGGTTTGATCCCACAGTATGCGAAAAAAGAGGTGAGCGTTGAAGTCCAACGGTGCTTCCTGTTGAGCTTGACATTTGCACATGCATGTTATTTTGGGGGGACAAATGTAGACATAACTCTTTCCCCCCCCTCATTTCATTCTCTCTCTGCTACAGGCAGATAATGCCAGATCCATGGGAGCTAGAGTTTACTGTGTTGGAGTCCTCAATTTTAATCAACAGCAGGTAGGGCCTTCCCTCTTGGGAATTTGCATACTAAAATGAAAAAAAAAAATATCTGGCAAAGGTGCTTCTTATTTGAGAAATTTCCTTGGATGAGGTGACCCAAACTCATTGGAAGCCTCACATTGCAATGAACAAGGACATGCATTCAATTTCACAACTACTATGATTGTTGTCTGAACAGAGACAAAAATAGCCAGAGAAATGGTTGAACCCTGGGAAATGGGCCCCTTGACAGTCAATAGGAATGCTGAATTATCACCAGACTATCAGATACTGAGGAGCCAAGGGTGCAGGGGCACAAGGAAACAACACTCAACAATGTAGTAGGCAGTCGTTAATTAACAACTAAAAGCTACACACAACCACAAATTATTCTAATACAATGTGTAGAATAGCTCACTGTGCATATTCTGGAGAGAGAGAGAAATTCCCCAATGATGGTCACCAATAAAAGCCTGAAAGCTTGGGAAAATAAATCTTTGATCCCAGTGACTGATTCAAATTGGATCTTGCAGAAATGCCCTTCTTCATTGAATCTTTTCAGCAACTATTTTGTGTTTTGGGGTTCATTTTCCAGGGTGATGGTGGTATTGTTCGGACCAAGGCTTCCTGAGACCGTAATTAAGCACACGCTTAGTCCAAACAACTCTTGTTTTATTTCAACGGCTGGGAATTAAGTTCATTCCCAGCTTGTAATAAGTCCCAAACAGTCTCTTGAGATAAGCACCCACCTTTATCTCCTTTGAATTGCTGCCAACAACTAAAGTGCCAAATTAACTGTAAAAAGCCAAATGAAGTACAAAGTCCACACAGAGCTTCAAGCTTTAATCCGAACAGAGCGAACGACTTTGCTTCCTGCAAAGGTTTCTCTACCTTTGCACTTCCTTTATATCTTATGGGAGGGGCAATCACCTCCAAGCCTTACTCCCAAGTCGGCCCTTTTGTCGTAGCTGCTCTTGCCTTCTGGCAGCTCTGTGCATGCGCGCACTGGGAACAGGCTCCCCTTGTTCCTCTGCCTTGCTGCTGCCAGACTCCAGAGGCTCCGGAGTCAGCGCATGACTCCCAGATGGTCCTGGCCCCATCTCTGTATCGGACGCAGGACCCTTGTCCGAGTCCTCTCCAGACTACCGGACTGGTCCCTGTTCTTCCCCACTGTCTGATTCTTCTGCCGTCTGCACAGGCTGCCGGCGAACCATAACAGGTACCTGTATTCCAGGTACGATAAGATATATCTGGCAGCTTACACACATTTTTTCTTTATCACTTAAAATGAGTGGAAAGGAATGGCCTAGAGGTGGAGCTGTGAGTTTGATCCTAGGTAGAGGCAGATATCTCTCTCTCTCTCTGGGCACACTGTGAATATATCTGCCGAACAAAACTCCGCATTGGCGACAGGAAGGGCATCCGGCCATTAAAACACTCTGCTAGCTCCATTCAGTTGCCCAGACTCCACGCCGCAAGGGATTATGGGGTTGTTAAATGAAGATGATGACTTAAAATGGGTGGAAAATCCTACCATCATTGTTTGATGAATTGCTGCCAAATTTCCGAGGTATGATTTATTGGGGTTGTCAGGATATACACTCAGATCCACTCACAAAACTAAAAGGCCACGTAGCTTGTGACCCACAACTAGCCCATCCCTCTGTTATGCATTCAGTGTAACATGGAGTTTGACCCTTAGCCTGATTCGGCTAAATTGGGTCATTTACTGTGGCTCAAGGTTGCTTTGTTGGGTTGGCTGCTCTCTGTTGCCTTGCCTCATACTCTTCTCTTGGAGAGAAATGAGGATAACATCATGGTTAGTTTGGTTTTAAAGAAGAGAATCAGCAGATTCGGTAAAAACCATTCTGTAAATGAAACTGCTCCTTGTTTTTCTTTCGTGGCCTTTCATAGCTGGGAATGTTCCTTGAAGTTGTGTTTGATTTGTTTTGCTGCGGGAATAAGAAAAAGTACGATTAGTAAACAGGATTTTGTCTATACCCGTGGCTCTCTTGAAGGCATTCATTTCCCTGCCCTAAATCTTTACTAAATCTTGTCCATGCATGCCTGTCTATCTGTGTCTAAAGGTTGGCGGCACGAATCTGTGTTGTATTTGTGCTTCCTTCCCCAGCTTGAAAGCATCGCTGATTCAAAGGATCAAGTCTTCCCAGTAAGAGAAGGATTTCAAGCTCTCCGAGGGATAATTAATTCTGTGAGTATTTGAAAAAGTGCATCTTGTTTAATTTGCAAAGTTTGTTTATTTTATTTTTTTGTAAAGACATTTTTTTTTGCGGCTTTTTCATTTTTATCTTAATGATGGGTTCTGTCATGCCCCTGTCGGAATCTGACTCCGAGGAGGAAGCCGAACAGCTGACAGAGAGTGGGAGTGTGGCTCCGTTGGCTGTGGAGGAAACTGGGGAAGGGCAACGTCTGGCTGGGCAGAGCAGGGAAGAAATAGAACAAGGGAGAGGGAATTCAGAGGAAGACCCAGGCCCACCCCCTCTTCATCCTAGGGCATGAAGGGAGGAACGGAGAAGGGAGCAACGTGGGTTGCGTGGTATACGGGAGAGGAAAGGGCCCTGATTCCCTTCATTAGCTGCAGCTGGGAACACAGTGTATAAAAAAGGCAAGCTTCGTGCAGCAGGCTGTTGGGAGCAAATGTGACTTTATCTTGTATTGTCATGGCTTATCTGTGTTCCCGCCGTCTTCCCAACTATGTGAGTTTTGCCGTGCTTTCAAAGTCTGAAATTCCTGCTCCTGCCCTGCCAAACTAATTACTTCAGTTTGGCTTGTTTGGACTTTAAGTTACAGTTTGTGTGTACCATGTTTTGGACTGAATTTTCTGCAGTCAAAGGCTGTTCTTGGGAGAGTTTTTCTCCAGCCTGAAGGTAACCTGGACATTGGGGGCAAAGTTGGAGATAATAAAGGGACTCTTATTGCTTATCTGACTGTGTTGCCTTTCTGCCATGCCCCGCGTCATCACAGCTTCCCTGGTCTTTCTTTAACTTCAATGCTTTCTTGTGGAATGGGCTGATTTTGAACAAATTAAAATCGCTCTGTTGCACGATCAAGCATCCAGAGGTTCCCTGAGACAGGAATAGAAAACTGGCTTTTCAAGGGTTCCTGAGTGATTGCTACTGAAATTCCTTACCATGGGCCATGATTGTTAGATCTCCTGGCAGTCCCAATTCAGAATAATTGTTCACCTTTAAGGATTGATCGGCTGTAGAAGAGAGAAGGGTTTTCTCCTATTAGAAGGTTGAACTTCATCCAACCAGAACTGTTATGGCTGGTGGCATATCCCATGGGATATTACTGACTTATGCCTTATTTAAACGGCCAGTAGTTCATTGTGCTTTACCTACAATTAAAATGAAACAATAGGAAAAGAGCAGAAGAATAACCAAGTGAACCACATCATAGCCTAGAGTAGAATGCGGGCAGCTTTGTCTATGTTGATTTAAATATGTATATAGAGATAAAACAATAGTTGATCTACATCAGGGGAGTCAAACTCAAGGCCCATGGGCCAAATCTGGCCTGCAGGGTGTTTAGATCTAGCCCGTGGGGTCACTTTGGAAACAGTGAAGGACCGGCCTGCGGTGCCTCTGCCAGAGAAAACGGAGCTCCGGAGGGCCATCCGCTGCCCTCCGGAGCTCCGTTTGAGCTGGTAGAGGGTTGCAGGAGGCTGTCAAGGCCACGGGATGGGCTTGCCCAGTTACTGGGTGGGTGTGGCCATGGTGGGTGTGGCCTAGTCAGCCTCCTGCACCACAGCGGGGGGGGGGGAGGCATTTTTGCCCTCCTGAGGCTCTGGAGGCTTTCCTCAAGTCTCTGGGAGGGCGAAAACGGCCTCACCGGGCTCCGGAAGTTCCAAGAGGGTGAAAACAGCCTCCCTGGCCTCTGGAATTCCTCTAGAGGCTGGAAATGGGCCCATTTCCCTGTTTTTCGCCCTCCCCAAGCCTCCACACAGGCCCTGCATTTACCTAGGATCCAAAACAGGCCGTGTGGGGACTCCTGGGAGGTGCGGGTTGGGGTGGGCAGGGCCAACCAGGGGTGGGATTTCCTGGTTTTCTGAACCGACTATAAACCGGCCATAAAATTAGGTACCCGTTTGCTCCAACTGGAGCGAACTAGGAGCAGTCCACCTCTGGATCTTGTCAAGTACAAAAAGGATCAGGATCATACATTAAGTCGCAGTTCAAAAGATGTATTGTTGAAGCTTGTACACAAGAATCTAGTCAATCAAAGTTCAATGTTGAATTGATGCCGGATAAGAAAGGTATGGACTTTGATTTTTTTTTTTTGTGGCAATGTAATGATTCTAAGCTTATGATGCTCTTAACTCCGACCCCAGCTCTGTTAATTCTTCTCCTATAGATCTCCATTCGCAGGAAGGGAGCTGAGATAGATCCATAGTTTTGAGCGAGTTAGTGTGAGAAGATGTATGACCCTGTGCATGGCATTTTCCTTGGAGAGCTTTGCATGTATCTATTTTAGGGAACTTTTTTTGGAATGTAAATATACTGGCAGGGTTTGATTCCTAAAAAGGATTCTTAAATAAGGGCCTACCGTCTTGCTTAATGGTTTCTGTATAGATGAATTGCATCTTCAACTTGCACTTCGACTTGGAAGAACTGTATTGATTGGGTTCCTTTCCTTAAAGAAAACTGTGGTGTGAAAGCTTTGTTGAACCGTTTAACTGTGCATATTTTTTTTGGTGTACCAAAATAAATACACAACTCTCCATTAAGGAAAGATATAGGCTGCAGCAAATGTAAATGCAATAAATTTGAAGGAGAAATTTTGGGAAATAAGTGCTAATGAATTTGTTTTCGATTGTCCGTTGTGGATTAAAGGCTTTGAGTCAAATGCTTTTATGTCTGCCAGTTCAGCTGGTACATCAAAACATGTTTTTATACCAGCTGTGAGCCAGGAATTGCTGCTATACAGATATTCCTCCACTAACAGCCGTTTGCTTCATGACGGTTCGAAGTTGCAACAGTACTGGAAAAAAGAGTGACATGCGTCCGTTTTTCACACTTAATGACCGTTGCAGAATCATCGGGGTCATGTGACCAAAATTTGAGTGCTTGGCAACTGGCATGTATTTGTGATGGTTGCACTGTCCCTGGGTCATGCGATCACTGTTTGTAACCTTCCTAGTCAACTTCCAACCATCAAAAGTCAATGGGGAAAGCGAGATTCACTTAACAATCACACAATTCACTTAACAACTTCAGTGATTCACTTAACGACTGAGGCAAAAAGGTTGCAAAATGGGGCATAGCTCACTTCAAACCTGCCTTGTTTAGCAATAGAAATGTTGGGATCAATTGTGTTTGTAAGTTGAGGCCTACCTATATTTAACAGTGTTTTCCTCAGACGAGGAAAACACTGTTAAGTGTAGGTAGGCCTCGACTTACAAACACAATTGAGCCTGAATTAAATCTAATGAAGTAAGTTGGTAACGATTTTGAAGTACAGGTAGTCCTTGACTTACAACAGTTCGCTTAGTGACCATTGAAAGTTACAACGGCACTGAAAAAAAAAGCGACTTATGGCCATTTTACACACTTATGACTGTTGTAGCATCCCCAGGTTCACTGATTTACATTCAGATGCTTGGCCACTGACTCACACTTATGATGGTTGCGGTGTTCCAGGGTCGTGTGATCCCCTTATGCGAACTTCTGACAAGCGACGTCAACGGGGAAGCCAGATTCACTGGACAACCAGGTTACTAATTTAACAACGGCAGTGATTCACTTAAGAAATGTGGCAAAAAAAGTCGTAAAGTGGGGCTTAAAGCTGCTTAACAAATTTCTTACTTAGCAACAGAAATTTTGGGCTCAATTGTGGTCATAAGCTGAGGACTACCTGTAGTTATATCCATGTTCCCCTCCCTGTTTTCAAGGTTTTTAGGGTCTTATGTGAAGCCCTGTGATGGCAAATTATACAGATTATGTACAGAACTGATGTCTGTTTGCCTATTACTAGAGTTGTTCTTTGAAGAAGATGGGCAGTCTCTAAATATGATAGATAAATAACAGATAACAGATAATCAGAGTTGGAAGGGACCTTGTGGGTCATCTAGTCCAACCCCCTGCCCAAGGAAGAGACCCTACATCATTTCTGACAGATGGCAGTCCAGTCTCTTCCTGAAAGCCTCCAATGATGAAGCTCCCACAACTTCTGAAGGCAGCTTCTGTTCCATTGATTGATTGTTCTCGCTGTCAGAAAGTTTCTCCTTATTTCCAGGTTGAATCTCTCCTTGATCAGTTTCCATCCATTATTCCTTGTCTGGCCTTCAGGTGCTTTAGAAAATAGCTTGACCCCTTCCTCCCTGTGGCAGCCCCTCAAATATTGGAAGACTGCTATCCTGTCTCCCCTGGTCCTTCTCTTTACTAGACTAGCCAAGCCCAGTTCCTGCAACTGTTCTTTATGTTTTATTTAATAAAATAAAAGTTGAGTGAAGATTGTTTTACTTTAATGTGGGGCCTTGTCTTGGATTATATCTTAGGAAAAGGAACTCCACTTCGGTTGCATTGTGAAAAAATAGGCAGACTAATATCTTGTGGAATTATTTTTGATTTTTCGTGGTTGAAAAACACATCCTTCAATAATGATCAGAGCAGGATTTGAATATTCTGAATAGAGAAACTGTATCTGGACAAACTCAGCAGTGTAGAACACAGATAGATCATATTCCGCTGCAGTTGAATTGCAAGTAACCTTTAGCCAGCTTTTCTGTTGCTGTTAACTTTTACGCGAATGCAGATCTGTCAAAATAAAATACAAGCCGAAAGTTGACCGGTCTGTGAAAAAATGATGAAGTACTGCTAGAATATCTAGGCCACAAAAATGTGCCTGGTCACTAGATATAACCATTTTATTATTTTCTGTGTGCCCGTGATTGCACACTTTAAGGTTTTTGATGTTGTAACAGTTCTGAATGTTGCAATAGTTAAATATTGAAATATGACTCACAGCTGTAAATGAGTGGTGAAAGAAAATGATATCAGAAACACTTTATTTTCACTTTATGTTGTAGGAAAAAGTTGAATTCATTATGCAAAGTGTACATAGTATGAGCATGATAAAGTAAAGCTAATATGGTACTTATAAGGCTTGACAGCTAAAACATATTAAGGACATCCTGGCTGCATCCATAGTTGTGATGTGGTCTTAGCTGCTGCGCATCATTGGTCTTTC